TGCTTTACAGTAAAGCTCATCATTGTACTGAGGATATGCTTCTGAAAACACAGGAGCACTGGAGCTGTGTACCTGAAGGCACTGAATTAGAGAGAAAATGAGAAATAGATATCTATATGGCATAGAGCCTAAGGCACTTGACTGCTAACCAGAAGGATAGTGGTTCAAACCCACCAGTCACTCCTCAGGAGGAAGGTTGGGCAATGTACTTCCATAGTGATACTGCCTCAGAAACCCAAGGAGGGGTCACTATGAGTCGGGGCCCACTTGATGGCACTTAATAACAACAGCAACAGCCCTTGTTGTTCAGATTTCTACTGTGTCACATTAGTACCAATTACAATGGTTTTATAGGTGTGTCAATGGTAGCCAACACCAAAGATTCTTTTGCATACACTCAAGACTCAAGTTAGAACTTATAAGACTCAGAAATCAATTTGCTTATAAATTGAAATACCTTTAAGTTGGGTATTTAGACACTAGAAATTGTGTGACATTTTAAAATAAATTACAACATTCTTATATTGTTTTTAATTGCTTATCATATAGATGGCATAATGGGCAAAAACAAAGCAGGCATACGATGTGATATTTTCTATTCTTTCATAAAGCAAACAACAAAAGAAAGCAGGTGTGCACAATGGTAAATATTGCCATTCAATCACTTGTACAAGCCTGGTTCAGTGAACCTTCTCCAACTTACAGGTGATGCTATATGTAGAAGGGTTTCTCTGAAAGGTTGGCAGCAACATTTATCAAAGAAGTCAGTTGACGGAGGAGTTACTGACAGCAAACTTCATTTTGCAAGAGATGGCCTAGGCTGCATTAGAAAGATGAATGGATTACAGTTTATCTGCCAACTGTATAATATATAATGTGTATGAAATCTCAACAAGGAAAGTTAAGCTACCTCTTTGTGTGCATGAGAGAGAGAGAAGAGGGGAGAGACAGACAGAAACAGAAAGAGAGAGGGAGAAGAAAATGAGAAGGAGGGAAAGGAATAGGGAGACAGGCAGAAGGGGCATAGGGAAGTGGAGAAAGGCAGACAGACATTGGAAAGTGGGTATTTCTTCTGAGTAAGAGTAGTATGGCCAGCAGTGTAACATTCATGCTTTATACAGCTAAACATAAACCTCTTTTAGAAAATGCAACATTAAAACCTTTCCAAACTTAATGACCTTTGATTATATATCAGGCAAGAGGAGAAACAGAAGGAAGCATAGGAGGTTATGAAAGACAGAAGAATAAGTACAAAGCTTATGAGTTTAGGGAAACATTCCTGTTTACTAATAGCCACTATTTCAGAGAAGGCAGAATTTACATTCCTATGATGTCATACCCTACAATTTGCTTCTTCACTGACAAAGTGCTGAAACTGAGTGACCTAATACAAGGAAAATTGTCAGGGAGAAGTTTAGCAGAGATAGAATAGATGAAGTAAGTTCATTGATTTCATTGGGAATTATGGGAAGAAGCACAAGAGGGAGGCTCACCAGATAAATATCCTGCTTATGTTCACACACAAGTGGAAGACTGTAATTAGTAGATCCTGAATATACTTGATAGTAGAGTTCCACTTTTGTTTTCCTATTTTTATACATACCATCAATATTGATTAAAAAAATAATTTTTATAATCAACATTGTTTGTTGTGTTGCTGTTATGTGCCGTCACGTTGGACCCGACTCACAGCGACCTCTCCTTGGGTTTCCAAGGCAATATCACTATGGAAGTAGATTACCCAACCTTCCTTCTGAGGAGTGGCTGGTGGGTTTGAACCACCAGCCTTCTGGTTAGCAGTCAATTTCCTTAGGCATTATGCTACCAGAGCTCCTAACATTTTGTTTAGGTAGCATCAATTAGCCAGATACTAATTTCACAGTGTAAAACCCACCACCCAAAGCTGTGGAGTCGGATCCAACTCATAGCGATCCCTCCTTGGGTTTCCAAGGCAGTATCATAACGAAGTAGATTGCCCAACCTTCCTTTTGGGGAATGGCTGGTGGGTTTGAACCACCAGCCTTCTGGTTAGCAGTCAAATGCCTTAGGCACTACCCACCGGAGCTCCTATGCCTATCACTAAGCCATGGGTAAAGAAAGATATGCAAAGACATCCACGGGCTAGCACATTTAGATTTCCTCAGTGAAACAAATTACACCCATTCATACAGATTCAAACTCTCAGACTTTACCACCACTTATATCAGGCTGCTTGCTCTGGAGTTATAGAAAAGAGGAAACTAAAACTCAGGCCTTATACTTGAAGTTCTCTGATTTATGGCATTTAGATATTTTCACTCTTGATTAGAAGATACATCATAATGAGAAATGAAAGATTTATTGGCCATAGATGAGAACTATAGAGATTTTTTTGGAGGTGGGGGAATATATATATTTTTTTCAGACTCAGCACACATGAGCCTTTTTAGATCTTATCATTGTGATCTACTTCATAATTTGGTATTTAATAATGGGTGTTTATTTTTATGTTCTTGTCACAATCTGCATGTTAGTTTTATTTTATAGAACTACTTATTGGACCTTGAATTCTAAAGTATCTCCAAACTATAAAGAAGTTATATTTATGTCCTCAATTTACCATGTAATGTACTATCCCCAAAATGTAAAAAGATAACACTATGTACCCAAGTTACCACTTTGAGTGTTTCTAGTCAACTGTGATAAAAGAGAATTAAATGAAATAACATATGCTAAATACTTAAAGATTAACTGGTGCATAGTGGATATTCAATATTGATATTTTCTTCCTTTCTCTGGTAAACTTTATATTTAGGTTACATAAAACTATGAAGTTACATAAAATAAAGAGTGCTGATTTTTTTTACAAAATAATTTGTCCCGTTACAATAGTATTCATCTAAATGATACGCCTTTTCAACGGGTTTACTATGTGACTCAGTTCACCATAATCAGCATTTATCTTTTAATGTTCAGGAATGCATCTATTATGTGAAACAGGGTTAACCTCTATTACAGTCAATGAGACAATCATTATGCTTAATTGACTGCATTTTCTCATTCCATATCTAGTTTTGAGTCAAACTTTGCCACATTTTCCATTTTAATTTCAGCACTCATACTCCCCCCATTCCCAAAATGAACATTCTCTCATTGCTGTAATTCTCACCCATTTTGAACAACTTAAGGAATAATTTGAAGTTGTGCCAAAAGTTGGGTCTGGATCAGACATCATATATGTAAGTCTTAGCTGTTATGTGGTAAAATATGTAGTGATTAAATTTCTCACATTGGCTTCATAATGAGTGTCACATAGATACCATAGTTGTGGCAAAGTTTAACAAGTAGTTAGAAAAAATAATAACAAAACTTTGTGAGCCAAATACATTTGTGGTATGTATTAAAAAAACAGCCTCATAGAATGAAAGGAGCTCTGGTAGTGTAGTGGTTAAGGCATTGGGCTGCTAACCCAAAGGGCTAAAGGTTTCAAGCCCACCAGCCACTCCATGGAAGAAAGATGAGGCATTCTGCTTCTGTAAAGATTTATAGCCTCAGAAACCCAGTGGGGGTTACTGCGAGTTGGAATCAACTCGATGGCAGTGAGTTTTGTGAGACTGAAGATATATGACCAAGAATACTATTACCATACAGTATTTTAAGTAGAAATTACTATTATTAAAAATATATTAAATATAATTTAGAATTCTACTTAGTGAATTGCATTGCTGTTCCTTCCTAAAACTATCCTATTTTCTATGAAAATATGAAATATTTAAAATTAATGCTATTCTTAATTCATTTGTCCTGTTCCACTTTATCCTTGTAAGACATTCATAATTAATGATGCATATAGGCAAGAAGTGATTCTTTGATAAGAAAACATTTGCATCCATTAATGTTTCATCCAGGGACCTCTGGTAAGCATAGTGCCCAAGGCACTTGACTGTTAACCAGAAACTGGTGGTTCAAACCCACTAGCCACTCCTCGGAAGGAAGACTGGGCAATCTACTTCCGTAGTGATACCACCTCGGAAACCCAAGGAGGGGTCGCTATGAGTCAGGTACAACTCGATGGCATGTAACAACAACGTTTTATCCGTTTCTAGTGTAGGTATACCGGTGGTGCTGAAAGGATAGTTCCTGGTCACCTGTCAACATTCTTGAGTGTGCTGTCTGAGAAAAAAAAAAGGGCTAGTGACAGAAGGAAAGTAGACCCACTGAAGACACGAGTGGGAGGCAATTACCTCATAGCTTCATGGCACTTTCCAAGAAATCATTTAGCTTAAATTTCCTTTTTTAAAAATTGTGGACAATATAGTTTTCAAACTAAAAAAATTTTAAGCAGCTCTTTCCATTTCCTCAAAGTAAAGCACTGAAGCAGAGTATTCTAAAGAAGACACAAAAAAGTTAATTATACAGATTTTTCTGTCATTTACTTTTCGTGATAGCATCCACTGTGAATACAGTGAGGAAAGCCCGGAGAGTTTTTAAAGGGAATTATCAGGGTAGATATAACGACTTGGAAAGAGAGGTCCTCTGCAGGCTCAACTTGACACTCTTTAATCAAAGAAAACCATACCATGTCCATGACCCACCCCGGCAGTTCATTTGCACTGGGGGAACTGAGTCCCCAGTTATAGTTCCAGCAGAAGGTAAATTAAGACAAAGCAGCCGCACACTCTGGGTTGGGGGAGGGCAGAAAGGTTAAGCAGTATTGGGGTGCAGTAGAAGGGAAAGTGACCTCATTTGCCTAAAAAAGCACTATCCAACTGCCCATCTTTGATGTGGATACCAGCGGCGCTAAAAGGGCACAAAGAATGAAAGCCGAGAAGAGCAAACTTCCCTTATTTCTCCTCCCGGTCCCTCAAGACACGCACACGCCAGGAAAACAAAGCATGTGCCCAAACTGCGCAGAAGGAGCTTGCCACCGCTGGACAATCGCATCCTGGTGCGCTTTGCTCCCCAGCAGCAGACCTGGAGTGCCAGAGCACCGAATGCCAGTGGGCAGTGGGCTTTCCTACCTTGAGCAGCACAAAGAACCAGAGCAGAGGCAGGAGGAGGCGGCCGCCGCTCGCACTCTTGGGCAGGTGCCCCATCGCGGCGCGGGCAGGGACCCCGGGGGACCGTTGCGCTGGCGGGCTCCCCCGCGGCAGCTCACAATGGCGAACTGGGACTTCGGCCTCAGACCTTGGGCGCCGAGGCTGCTCCCGGGGGGCGCATTCTGCCTTTCTCGTCCCCCTGCGCCTGCTTCCTTCCCTCTTCTGCGTCCGGGATCCTCTAGGAACGTGCCAGGCGCCGCTGTTCTTTAATGGCTAAGGATGGAGAGGGTGGGGATTGGAGTGGGCGAGGCTCTGCAGCCGCCGCCACCGCGGCTGTTGGAGGAGGCGCGGGGTCCTCGTGGTGAGGGAGAGGCAGAAGCTCTGCCACCAGTTGGCCGAGATCCTCTGAAAACAGGGACCCTCTCACTGTGTGCTGCGTACTCCTGAAGTGACTGCAGCCTCCCCACCCTCCTACCAGAGTCCGTCTCAGCTTCCTACAGTTGAGCAGCCCCCATTCCAGGCTCCGCCCTACCCCTCCCAAAATCTCTGGGTCTCAGGAGTTTCCTGGGGTTTCCCTGACTCCTTGAACAACTGGGGCAAATCCCAGTTCTCTCAATCTTATATCTGCTCTAAGTTCCTGGTGTGAAGGACTAGTAGCCCTTGTTGGACGGAAGTAATGATTGTGATTGTAGTGGTGGAATGTGGGTTGTGTGTGTAATAGACAGGTATTCCTCCCCTCTTCTCTCTGTACCATTTAAACACTCTCAACCCCTGGATTCCACAACCACTAGGCAGAAAATAGCACAATTACATATATTTTCCATTTGAAACTGGGAATTCTTGTAAATTTCAAGGGCTGAACTTTGATAATAAAGTCTATCAGGTCCTAGGAAGATGAGTATTGGAGGGGTGATGGTGGTGGGTTGGAGTTAGTAGAATACTTTTATAAATAAATATATTTCAAACATTTCTGAATTATCCACGAATAATTAACTTGTGACTTTTTTAAAATTTTAACTAATTCCAAGCCGTGTATTCCCAATCTATTTATCCAACCCTTGGTTGAAAGATAAGTCTGTAAAATAAACTATGGTGTGCACTATTCAAATTTAAACCAGTTCTTATTACCATGGAAGTTACCCTTGTTTTGCCTAGCCAGTAATGGAACTTCTTATTTGTTCCTGAGATGGGCTTGGATCCAAGGAGAAAGGAAAGCTATCCTGGTTGTGAATGTAGAAGCTCAGACCCTGGGAGAGGAAATCACTTTGTCTCAGTCACATGGTTAGGGAGTGGTGGTGAAGAAAAGAACCCAGGGCTAGCTTTACTCAGCTTTTTTGCTAGATGAACAGAGACCATACATTAATTGTTTGGTGGGGAGGGAAGCATCTGAGAAAATTTCAGTTTGAGTATATTTAATGAGCATATATGTATAAAGGAAGCTTTGGTGATGCAGTGGTTAAAGCATTCGGCTGCTAACCAAAAGGTCACTGGTTCCAACCCACCAGCTGCTCTGTGGCAGAAAGAGGAGGCAGTCCGCTTCGATAAATATTTACAGCCTTGGAAACCCTACTTGGCAGCTCTACTGTGTCCTGTAGGGTTGCTATGAGTTGGAATCAACTGGATAGTAGGGGGGTTATTTTAGTTTGGGTCCCTAGGTGGCACAAATGGTTTGCACTCAACTAGGAGCTCTGGTGGCATAGTGCCTAAGGCATTTGGCTGCTAACCAGAAGGCCGGTTGTTCAAACCCACCAGCCACTCCTTGGAAGGAACACTGGGCAATCTACTTCTGTAGAGATATCACCTTGGAAACCCAAGGAGGGGTCACTATGAGTTGGGACCCTCTCGACAGCTCTGTGTGTGTGTGTGTGTCTGTGTGTGACTGATCAAAAGGTCAGTGGTTCGAACACACACAGTGACATCATAGAAGAAAGGCCTTGTGATCTGCTTCCATAAAGATTACAGCCAAGTAAATCCTATGAAGCTGTTCTACTTTGCAATAATACATGGAGTTGCCATCAGTGGGAATTGACTGGATGGACAATGAGCTCCACTGCAGTGGGTTTGTTTCAGTTAGTGATATGTGTATTAAAAGCTCATATGAATAGATATAGAATAATGGTCAAACTTTACATGTATTGTCTTTTTTTAGAAATTTCTTTTGTTGCTCACTTTAGTGACCTTATCCCCACCCCTTTGTAGGCCTGGCCCTTCTCTTTCTCATGGGAAAGGGTTAATTGTTCCTCAGTCCCTCTAGGTCAGATTTCTGAGCTTGCTGAACTATTCTTGGGACTGCACTAGCAGGGGCTTTGGTTTGATATATTTTCCTTTTATTTTTAGGCTTCTGAAAAGAGCATGTTATTACTGTCCCCCATCAAAGTAGCTCTAGACTGTTCTAATGTCTAGAAGTAAAGATATGTTTAATCAATGGGAAATTCATGCTTACAGGATGCCAAAAATCCTCTTTTGAACCAAGTTTTATATTACAGTATGTGTGTGTGTTCTGGTTACCCAGTGCCACTCTGACAAGAATATACCACAAATGGGATGGCCTTAACAAACAGGGGTTTATTCTTACAATTCGGAGACTTTAAGTTCAAGTTCAAAGTGCCAGGCTCTAGGGGCTGGGTGAAAGCCCCTCAACCTTGGAGTCCAGCTCTGCCTCCTGCTTCTGGCCCATTGGAGCTAGAGGTGTTTCTTCACTCAGACAGCTGCTGGCTGCTGAGGCTGAGAAGCCCCAAGGATGACAAGTAAAAAAGCACAGTCCCGATGTTACCAAACCACATGGCAGGCCATTAACTTAAGTCCATCATAAGTCCCAAGGTTAGCAAAGCATAGCAGGCTGCTGAACAATAACACAGCTACATGTAGGGTCCAAACGTGCCATAGGCTAGAGACTATTCCCAAGGCTTCTCCTTATATACAGGAAGCAGAGCACATCCCAAAGGCAGCTACTCAGCTGCTTGTGTTAGATCCCACCACGGAGCTGTTGTCAGTGTCATCATGGGGAATAACTACCACCAGCTGCCCAGCCACTCAACCAGGCTCAGCCACATTGACACACAAACATAACTACCACAGTTTGTGTGCAATTTGAATTATGGAGATATATGGGGATATTGATGTATGTGTGAATGTGTATATATCTGTGTTGTGAATTATGAATAATAAGGAAATATTCATGTGTGTGTATGTGTTTATATGTGAGTAAATATATGGATATAAGTTTGCCTCATGTATGTAGGGCATTAGAAAACAGTTCTACTGATTATATATTCATCCTGTAAATGCACAGAGCTTCCACAATGATGCCTACTTTTATACTATCATATTTTGCTATGGTCTCTTTCTATTTCTTTTTTTAGTCATTTATTAATCACAATTTTCTTAGCTCCTGCTGCATGCACACGTGTATAATTGATTTTTTTTTTGGAATATTAAACATAAACTGTAAGGTATCCAGTGATACATTAGTAATTAACATTGCTGATATTCCATTAGTAACACTGTGATTAGATGGCCTAAAAACTTAAAGTATTGCTTCATAATCACACAAATTTTCCATTCCAGGGAAAAGTATTTTACATTGCTGTTGCTGGATAAAATAGTTTCTATTTATTTTTAATTCACTTAAGACAATAAAGTCTTTGCATTTTTCAGAAGAGACTCCTAAGGAGAATGTGAATGCTGTATCATCAGCAGTTGAGATTTTCAATCCATAGAGCATGCTGTGTACTTCTTTGAACTACTGACTGCTTTTCCAGTCAAATACTAACAAAGTATGATAGATTACTATGCTATTTTCAAAACTCCAAATCAACCAGAATAGCCATGGGCAACATACAGTGATGATAATAATACATCACATTCTCATGGTAATTTGTACTTCACCAATGGCTTTAGCATCTTTGGTCTGATTTCATTGTCACAACCAACCATTCCTCAAGATAAAGAAGACTGAGATCATTATCACCAACAATTTCCCCCCAATGCTGCTTTTCCTGGAGAAAACATAAACAGACAAAACAGAGATTTACACTCCTTAAAACATGTATTTAAAAATGAATTCTCACAAATTGAAATAAAGCTCTGTACTTTTTGAAAATAGTAAGATTGTAAATGATCAAGAGATTGGAAATATTTTTTTAAATATGTAAGAGGCTTGGTTTTTGTTAGGAAAAACCAAAATGTTCCTAAATGTGTAAAAATGTTTGTCTGTGTCCAGGTGGTTCACATCTATCTCTTCTATAGAAAGAGAAGCAATAGCCACCACAGAGAAGTAGCTAGAATCCCTAAGAGAGGTTTAATGAGGAGTCAAATGGAACTCTTACAGTGCCCTTGCCAATGAAGAGCAATTCTGTCCTCAAGGGACAAACTCTAATGCAGTTCAGTGTGTTTAGTCCTGGCTTCCACCACTGAAATAGCCCACAAGGCTGTCAGCAGTTTCAGTATTAGATAGTTGTATTTATGGGGATACTCAATGACAAATAAATTACTTCATATGAAATACAGAAAAAAAATAAAACCATTGATTTCCAGCCTATATTCCACTTGAAAAGCACAGGGGTGGCTTCAATTTGTCATCCATATCTCACATATTACAATTATTAAAGCATACAAACTGTAGATTATGCATAATATATCTTCTTAAGATAAGATGATCAGGCAGCATTTTGATTTTCAATTTATTTGAGCATTTGTTTTAGTTGTTCTCTTGATAAACACTTGTTTCTTGCCTAAAAGACGTGTTGACAATTCATAAATTCTGTCTTTCAAAATGAGAATGATTGACGGCCCTCAGGTGAATAGCATGTTCCAACTGCCAAGATTTATTATTCCTGCCACACTTGAAAAACTGTGAAATAATCTACAGAAGGTCATTTTTGCTTTTACGTAGAGACTATTTTCCTATCGCCTTTTTTCCCTTCCTAAGTAACTCCTATTTAAGGGATTGATTTTTTTTTTTCTTCCAATTACTGATCTTTCTTCATTCCTAACTTTCCCATGCCAATTACCAGTAATAATTAGTGCAATTTGATTGCATGTATGATCACTTTCAGACAGCAGAAGCTGGTAAAAATCTTCAAATTCATCTTTGACCTTGGTGGTTGGTGCATAAATTTCAATAGTAGTTGTATTAACTGGTCTTCCCTGTAGAGATATGTATATTACCCTGACAGACTTGTATTTCAGGATAAATCTTTAAATGTTCTTTTTGAAGATGAATGTGATGCCATTCCTCTTCACGTAGTCATTCTGGGCATAGCAGACCATATGATTGTCCAACTCAAAATGATGTAGTTTAAAATAAGAAAAGGTATGTGTCAGTATTGTATCTGTTTACTGTATTTTTTCAAGCTATATGCTGAGCAAGAAATCTGAGCAGCTGGACTATATGAAGAAGAACACAACATCAGGATTAAGGGATGATTCATTAACAATGAATAATAACATAATGAAGTATGCAGATGACACAACCTTGTTAGATGAAAGTGAAGAAGACTTGAAGCACTTACTGATGGAGATAAAA